GGAAAGAGTACAGGGTCATGGTCCTAAGCCAGTCCCAGCCCCGCTTCTCTAAATGGGGAGACCGGAATGGTCGGTGTTGCTGAGGCCCCACACTACATGTGTTGGGCTCCTAATAGCTGCATGGTGCATGGGATTTTACAGGCGCCCGTCTAAAGGGGCATCAAGGGTCAGTTCTCATTGATAGGCCCGGAAATGGAGCTAGTAAGGTCTGCAGTAATGCAGATCACAAGGTTTCAGAGGCAGCTAGGCTGTGCTGAGGGCATGGTCAAGCTCCTGGTTCCTGTTCCAAAAATCTGTACAGTGTTATCGGCCAGAGGAAATCAAAACGATTTCCTCCTCCTGGCTCTGGCCCTTGCAGAGGGGCTGCAGGAGGCAACCCAGGGAGCTCTTTGTCAGATTGAAGCAGTGTTTTTATAAACAGCCTCATTAATCATGACAAGGACGATGACTCTATTCCAGGGGGAGAAATTGCAGAGCCGAGCTGCACTGACTGAAAACATTCCCACTCTTTGGAAGACTGAGAATATCTATAAATAGAAATCTGGATGCTGGGATATTTTTTTAACAGACACTGTGGTCACGACTGTCAATTCACAAAATAATATCTGTTGTGGGACTAAACTCATTGGCACCAGGGATTTGCAAGTAATAGCACAAGTTGACACCTGAGAGCCTTTCAAGAAACAGAGCTTCCTCATTTCTCTGGAATTCAGCCCCAGATACTAAGAAATCCTATTGTCTGGGAGAAAGGAGATATTCATTTGCCAAAGGAAAAGAAATTTAACAACAAGCCTCTTACACAAAGAAACCATCCAGAGGAAAGCTGTGATCGTCTAGGTTTGCAAGTAGCTTTCTCATTCATCTACCCAGTCTCTGGGACAAAAATAGCAGACAGTGAGTGTTATTTACAGGATGTGCCGAGTGGTGTTCTTCTTTCACATCACACCTTTGAAGACACGTAATATGTAATAAATCCTCTACTGTCTGCTGGCACTCCTACCTCCAAACATAGGCTGAAGTCTTGCTGACTGGAATGAACAGGGGTATCCAACTAGCAAAGCTTAGAACCAATGCCGCCAGGATAAACCTAAACAGTGGAACTGTCCACAGCAACACCTGGGCCAGTCTAGGGTAGACCCACCAGGGCCACTGTGAGAAAAAGGGCCGTGACTCTCTCGCATAGGTCACGTAACATAGGAAACCTAGTTTATAAAATTATCGATGGGGACAGCAGTGCCTGGGGTTAAAATGTGTCCACTTGCATCACCTTCTCTAACTTGAGGACACTATCTTGGGTGGAGGAGCGTCAGCCGAGGAGTTTCCTCTCCCCTTGATGTGCTCTGGCAGGACAGAAGCTGTGCTGGTTCATCACCTCCAAGAGAGGGGCATCACCAGAAGGTGGAGAAGCTCCTTCAGTCTCAGCTGAGCCATGGATGCACTGAGATGGCTCAGTGCTGCTGCCAGGCTAACATTTACGTAGTTTCTCATCTGCGGTATCATTCTGGGGACAAAGCTTCCAGATCTGGAGACTTGGTATAGCTTTTCTGCCAGAGTTCATCTGATGGCAACCTCTCGGCTCGGAAACAGAAACAGGACCTCTCCCTTCAGCACAAGGACAGACATTCAGTCTCTGCAACGATAAAGCATTCACAAGGCATGCTCTTTCCTTTGCTGGAATGACTGGTCTGTGTGTCTTTGGCTTCAATAAGGAGCACTACTGTTGATTCAGAGCTTACCCGACTGAGCCCAGATACAGAAGGAAGTTTGAATTGGCCAGCACTCCCCCGGCATACGCGACGCTGAAATCTTTGGTTTGTAAGTCATGATCAGGCCTGAATCACCAATGTGTTCACAGCACGGCAGCTGCAAGGTCCATTTCCATCATTATGTAACTCGCTGGCGGCAGAGCCGGGGCAGGAACTGAGCCCTCCAGGTAGGAACAACTAACATAGCTGGTCTGACACCCTGTCCTGGAGCCTGTACTCATGCAGCGCTCATCAGGACTGGAACATCTCTGCCTCAGTCTCATGCCATGGGCAGTTTGCTGTCACGACCTGGCAAGGAGAAAGCTCTGGCACTTTATTGCTTTGCTCTGTATAGCCCAGTTGAGCCCCGCAGAGAAAAGCCCTAAGCTGGGAGAGGAACTGCTGGGAGGAGGCCAATGCGACACCACGTTCAGCACGCTGCTCAGGACCTGCCACTGGCTTCTGCAAGGACCACACACGTGCTCCCAGCCCCCTCTGCTACCAGCAAGGAGCCAGTCAAGGCCATAATCCACCTTGTGGTTAACCTGGGCTAGAGGTCAGCGCAGAAAGGTCTGCAGCTGCATGAAAATGGAGTTCAGGTGGCAAATCAGGAAATGAGCAAGCCATCAGCTGGTGGAGTGGGGAGGAGAATTAGGGGCTGCTTAGTGCTGGCTTCCTCAAAGTCAGGCTAAGACCTCCTCTTCTCTCATAAACCACAAAAATCCTTCTGTTTATCCTGCCTCTGTCTTCTGAGAGAAACTCCAGGGACAACTACTTAATCCTGAGATCGAAGGTGAGGGGGAGATGGCCTTAAACACAGGGAAGGAGCAAGTTCCTCAGACCTGGCATGAGAAGGTCTTGAGGGGAGGTGGGTGAGGCTCTCTGCCTTTCTAAAATGTGCTGTAGGAGAAAGGTTGAGGTTGCAGTATTTATGGCAGAGGTCTTCTTCAGTTTCATTTCCTCAGCATGTATAGGGTGAGATGTAGTCTGCTAGAGGGGAAATTCCTTTTAAAGCTGTATGTTGTCCTGTTACAAGTACTTATGCTGCTTAATATTTGAGAGGCAGGACATGGGCAGCATCTTGGGGCAACTGTAAGGCAGAGAGATGTCCTGGCTATTTTTACTGCGCAGTGTGGAAATCACTTCTTACTCTCTAGCGGGTAGTTTGGAGGTGCAAGAAAGTAGTGTTAAGTAGAAGGGCAGCAAATAAGGAGGGATGAAATCAAAACACAGAAGGCTGATGTTCTTGCTGGGAGTAGCTGTTCCCAGAAGTGGTATTACGGAGTTGAGGAAGTTTTGGAGGAGATACAACTTCTCCTTTGCTTGTTTTAGCTTTCTCATAGGGCTCCTTCTTTCTTGAAGCCACAGGACGCTTCAGAGACCTCTGGAGTAGGAGTAGCATGGAGTAGGAAACCTTTGCGTGAAACCTTTACTTGACTGATCAGGCCCAGTGTTTCCTTGGAGGCAGAGGAAACAAAGACTGGCGGTGGTGCCAAAGCAGTATGCGCAGCTGTCTCCTTGGAGGCTGAGAGGACTCTTGCATGCAATGTGGCAAACCACACGGAGCCCTGCTATTTCTGAAGAGCCCTTATTTGGGGGCAGCTTGGCAACTTATTCTCTGAGTTGCCTATTGTGTCTCTTCAAAGCCTCAAGCTGAGCTGCTAGTAGCCAGACCTCAGTGTGAGAAGGTGCTG